TCACCATTTGAAGAACGGATGAACTAAAGGATCCCGAAAAGATTCTGCAAAAGCAGCAAGAAAGTGGACTTTTGTGTTTATCCGTTTCTAGTAACGCGTGGTCCGCTCACCTACGGACATGAGCACGCAGCTTGTCGCCTTTCACCCTCCATACGTGGCCCAACGGTCAAGATTACATCCGCGTCCCAGACGAGGGCGTGTAATGCAACATGTCGCTGTTGATCTCCCATTCCAGTCAGCAGTTTTGGTCCGATCTTAACCGGCATATTCCGACCGTTCTCCAGGTCTACCGGTTGGGGAATTTTGCGATCAGCTCCGAAAGTGAAACACTTTGGATGGAACTCTTGACCCGTTCCGGACCGATCTCCAGAAGCTTTCCGAGCGGATGTTCGGATCGTTTCCTTGATCACGCTCTAAGTGATGTCCGATCTCGATGGGAATTTGCCAATTTTTCTCTATATAGCCGGTCACGGAATCCCGAGCTTTCCCTGAGCTGCCTGTGGAGCTTGGCCCTGAAAATGAATTCTCCAAATAAATCCAAAATCTGAGAGTCAGCGAAGTTAGGGATAATCCAAGTTTTCCCAAGTGATGGCCGATGGAACGGGCTCGATCGGAGATAGGTTAGGAAATCCCAAGCGTTTTCCAAACCGATTGAGGAAACTCAGGATTTCCTCAGCTTTCCCAAAACCTTACCCGACTTTTCTTCAAGGGAATGTCTGGCTGGATATGAACTACAGCCTCGAATGCAAACGATAGGTTTCGATGACACATGATGGCCTTGCCACCAACATGGATTAACATGAAAAGCTGCGCGTCGGGGTGAAATGTCCATAACACTTTTGGTGTCTAATAAGACAGTTGAGTTTTTGGCTGGTGATGGATGACTTAGTTTTGATTGAGTAACATTAAAAGTTCTGATAATTCAAAAGCACGCCCAAATATGTGCCTTGATCGAAGTCATAGTCATGTGACAACTGTTTTCGTTGTGCTCACTTTAACAGGACGTCGCCGGTGCTTGCGCCTCTCCCGCGTGTAGGAAGAAAATATTGTGGTAATAGTTCGAGCTCATTGGAAGAACTTGCGGTGAGAGCTTTAATAGCTTTGGGGTGCTGAAGAGATTTTTCAAGGTGCTCTGTCGTTTTTGTTAGTGTGTACCAGTGGCCAGGTGTGTGAATTTAAACAACCATCTCTGGCGTTCGTGCGATCGTGTGCTTTCAGGCATGACGTCAGGCTGACGACTTCAGGGCCTAGGATGCCATTGCCGTGATATTCAGTAGCATGGTTATTGTCTGTGGTGACGTCACTGGTCATGGTTTGTGTTGATGTCACCGACACGCTATCCATTGATGCCGAAAACTGCGTGTTCTACCTTGAGACACTTAAAATTATATTTGTATTTTGCATAGATCAGCCGTCGACATCTATGACGTCAGCAGGTATGCTCGACGACACGTAGTCCGTCAATCGTGGTTCTGCGAGTGCAAGTCCGAACACAATGTGTCTGACTTAAGTCATTTCAATTTGATATTTGCCCTGGGGACTTCGTCAGCGATCGAGATCTAGACAAACAGATCGCAGTCATGGAAAAAAATATGATAGCTAGCCCCACTCACACATTTGTTTTTAAGGCACTCGGAGCATACAAGCCTGTAATTACCCACGAAAAACCTGGCATAGACAAACGTTATTATACGAGGCGCCGATTTAGATGATGTGTAGAACTTAATGCGAACCCGGTACGATGAATTATATTGAACGATTGCCAAAAGAGAGCATACGGTGTGCAATTGCTGACCTCGTAAGTTATGTTGACGGCATTGGCTTAATTCTACCCCTTGGTTAATTCAACACCTTGTATGAAAGCATGTTTGTGTTATCTCGGCGGATCTTTGGTGTGCATGTGTTTTATCTTGGCGGGTCTTTCGTCTGCATTTGTACGTTGGGTGTTCCATTCAGCAGGTGTAAATGAGGCGGTTTGCTTGCTGTTTTCTCCGCCTCCACTGCCCCCTCTCTCCACCGCCTACAGCAGGTAAGGTTCGCAGCATCATCGCTGTTACCTATATACGGACAGTGTCGCCGATGGTGGTGGCACCGTCCGTCGCTCAGCGTACATTTGCCGCCCAGATGCTTGTCAGACTGAGAGCCACGAATGTCATCGATCAGTACGGGGGGAATTGGCGTGTCGGTGCGCATCCACACGCACTATCAGAGAGCAATGTCGTGTGTTAAGAGTAGCGCTGCAGGGTACGCCGGGTGCATGATCCGCTTCAGGTGATAGCCGTAAGTGACAGAGGCCTCTGACTTGAGAACGCGAGCTGGGGTGATGCAAGTGCTCGGAAGTGATAAGGTGCGCGCGTGTCTGCGTAAGCCTTACGAGGCTCTCATATTGTGAGGAACGCACATATGTCGCGCCTCTCGGCACGTGTACGCATCTGTCATTTTAGATACGTGCACGGCTTTCGTATGGGCTTGCACAACCGCTGACCGGTACCTAGATGCGTATGCACCCGTCCTGCCAGGAATTCAAACCTCACCGCGTGTGGTCCGGTTTTTGCCGTCACCCTCGCCACAAGACATTTCCAAAGAATCAGGCGATGTCTTACCGCGCGGCCGCCGCCGGCCGCCTGCTAAATGCATCCCATCTGAGCGCTGGGAATCCATCTTGGAAATCGAGTTACGTCGAACGACATTATCATCGGCGCCCTTCGCGCGATCTTCGTGCGGGCGACGGTATCCTCGATGCGCTGCGCTCGGCGGCAGGAGAAGCGCCTCTCACGCGCCGGTGGCGGCTAGCCGCCTTTCCGGCGTGAGCCGTGAGGGCGGCTGGATCACTGGCCGCCTCCCCTCATCCTGGCAGGAGCTCAGTCGAGTGGGGCTGACTCCGTCTCGCGAGGGACTAGGGCGTTCGCCGGTTGGCGCCGACAGTACGGTGCGATGCGAGTATGCCCTGAAGCGTGGAGGTTTGGGAGTTTTTGTCGGCTCTTTTACTCATATTTGGTGCGAAGGACTTGCATATAGTCAGGGTTACGGTGTTCGGGCTGGCTCATCCTATTTTCTGAATGGTTGTGGCTTGGCGCAATGGCCGGTGAAAAAGTGAAAGGTCATTTGAAAGATAGCTCGATACAAACCTCTGAATCAAGCACAATAAACCAACAGATGTCGCCATTCGTTCGCTTTGAGGTCCTCCAGCTGCGAATTTGTGATAAATTGTCACCTCCATAAAAAGCATCACCGAAAATGGCTGCGGCCCGCTTTCAGGCCGAATTGAACATGGGAGGAATCAGATAGTCTTAGCGAGATCAACGAGTTCAGCTTTCCCTTTTACGCTTTGTGCCGAGGGCCTCTTTCAACGGCCAACGGCTGATAACCTATCAACTCATCTGCGTCCGTTGAAGCCGGCATTATGGATCGGTTTTCTCCTGCGGCCCGATGATCGCCGCGGCATATTTCATGTCAGCTCGATGTGTCGCGGCCATCAGGGCCCAGAAAGGAGGCGCCCACCGCCCGCGGAGGGCGCGTCGCGGCGATATGGGGCCGCAATCAGAGCCGCCGCCGCCGCATTTGCATGCGCTTTTTATGACGTGGCTGCAGGGTCAGCGGGGCGGGTGGCGCCGGAACTTTGCCGATAGCGTAAATCGTGATAAATGTTACCGTGGCTCATCGAATTCGTGACGCTAGTGTCTGCGACCCGACCCACTAAATGCGACACATGTGAGATATTGCACTGCCTTTTGGGGTCGGGGCAGTGCACTAAAGTACGTTTACGCAACACGGACGCCGTCGAAAGATGTGTGGCGTATACGTTCTACTTAGCACAACCTTTACAGGCGATGAACGATTCCGTCATTGGTCACCCGCTGTTGCCCATTCACTAAAGACGGACTGAAACCTCGCGAGGTTTGCAGAGGCAGCACGTAACCCATCCCACGTAACGTCCCCCACGCCACTAATCGAACGGAGCGTGCACTCAACAGGCTCGTCTGGCATAAAGTAACGCCTCTGGCGTCCACCCCAGGGGACGATTAATCTTCCGGGCATCGTCAACGTCGGCCAATCACTCAACGCGGCACCCGCCACAGTCGCTCCAATCCTCAGGTGGTCCCAATCAATTCGATTCGGCGCCCTCGTCGCGCCACAATTGCTCGCCGCGCGCCGCCCGCCCCGCGGCGTCGTCGTCGATGCAGCCTGATTAAGCCCGTCGTCGCGCTGTCGCCGTGTTGATCGCGCGGAGGCCGCCGGCGCACAGCTGTGCCGCCGCCGCCGCCGATGACGCGATTGGCAGCCGCGGAGCCATCCGTCATCGCGAGGGGAGCGGGCAGCGGCGGCGGCGGGGAGGGGGGGGGGGGGGCGCCGCTCGGCGCCCCATCCCTCCCGCCGCCCGCCCGGCGGGCCGCGCGCTGGTGCGATTAATGGATTAGGCGGGGCGTATTGGACAACAGCGGGCTGGCTGGAGTTCGCGGCGGGCTCTGTCGGTCGGGATGACGGGGTATCCGGCGGTGTCGGCGGCGAGCTTGGAGCTTCAGGAAGGAGTTAGATTCATCATTGAAACGCATGCTGCATCCAGAAACAGCAATGCAACATGCGGCAGTGCGTGGCGTGAAAATTAATGGGTATCGCAAAACAGCGTGTTAGCCTGCAGGTAGTGCCGGTGGGTTTTTTTTAGACTGAGGGAGCAGCACGTGTAGGTTAGGGAGGGGCGGAAAACATCCAAAGCCAAAAATACTTAGCTAAGTTCATTGCCGTTTTAGAGATTTCCGGGAAGTCCCTGTATTTGGCGGGTTTCATTTTGAGTTTTGTGACGTGTCGCCCTACCGCCCCCTCCCCCCCAAGAAGGAGTTGGTATTAGATATTGGAAGCACACACCTAGATAAGGGGTGCATCCTATGTGGCAAACTTTAGGTATTTGTTAAAAATGTGTCAAATTTGAATTAAAATATGTTTTGTGTGGTGATGTTGTACCCGGCTAAAGTAGTCGCACATCTTCCGTCTTTTGTTCGCAGATCTTGCTGACGATCCGGGCGCTGCCGCCGCTGCCGGCTGGGGCCAAGTACCTCTGCGTGTTCGGAACGGCTCCGCCGGTCGACGCCGCCGCCGCCGCCGACGGCCTGCGCTGCCGGGCGCCCCCGGTTCACCTCAGGCCTTCCGTGCCGCTCACCGCGGACCACGTGACCGTGCCGCTGTCGGTCAGGTCGTCCGAGACCAGCAAGGACTTTGTGACGCGCCAGTTCGCCTACTTCGACTGCAGCCACCACACAGTGTGCGGCGATTGTGTGACGTCACGTTGGCAGTGCAGCTGGTGCGTGTACGACAACAAGTGTGTGCACAACTACCACAGCCTGCCACAAGGAGGCCATCTCTAGTCGCGTCAATCAGGTGAGCGGTTCCAACATGTAATATCGCTCGCGTTTTCTGAAGTTCTCAAAAGACAGAGCGCGTGTATAAGCATCTTCCTCCAAACTTGACAGGCTTTTACTGGATTCTTAAGCAAACAGTGCCTTTCTGCGGCCTCCAATATTTCGTGGCCCTATTTTATGGTTTTCTCTTGGAGGTAAAACAACAATGCATCATTCTAGCAGAGGCTGTTTTTCCCGCAAGACTGTCATAGTTTGACAGCTCTCAGCTGTTTTTGTGGTGAGGTTTGTGCTGGTTGGCTGCGTCAGTTTCGCAACCACAACCCACACTCGAACAAATGAAGTGAGAGTCACAATCCACTAAAGAATGCGTATGAAAGGGGACCACCAGTAAACATCCCATAGACGGGTAGCTGGAGACGAAGCCCTAACCCTTTCCGTTGGCGTGTGGGGCGGGTGCATATCGACTCGTTCCAAAGCTGCACACATGAAACGACATCGTAAACATCATTCACCTGCATGGTAGCGTTTTGTAAACTGCATCATACGCTTGCTACGTAGGTGCAGCCCACGCGCCAAACGAGCGGTTACATCGAAATTAAGAGTTGAATAGACAGACATGAAGGTCGCGCCCTCCTCCCTCACATCGGGACAACCTTGAACAGCCCTACGTGGGAAGTCCGGCAGGGGCTCTGCGCACAGCGGTATGGGAAATGGCCACGTGCGTAGCAGCCATGCTACATTAGCCAGTACAGCTCTGTCCACGCGTGCAAAGCGTCAGTACGGCCTCCCCGTCGCTCGACGGTCGGCGTGGCGGCCGGGCGTCCCTCGCGCCGCCCGGAGCGGTACGGAGCGGTACGGTACGGTGCGGTGCGGTATGGTCCGACGCTGCCGCCGAACGCGCCGACAGCGCGACGAGAGATGCTCCGACTGCCACGGGGCGCCTCGGGTGCGTCGGTCGCGTGTCTGGGAGGCCCTCCCGACCGTAAAATGATGACGACCCGCACGGCCGCCCCGAAATGCGTGTCGTAGATCACTTCTGAAGGATTTACGATGGGTCCTCCGTTATTTGGTTTCCGGCCCGTCACCCGTGCAACGCTCCCGCATAGCACGGCGATTTGGCCAGTTGTTTGTTTTGCTCTGGTGTACGGGGAAATATGCGACTGCAGCGGGCTAAGATGGCATCTTATGGAGGTTTTTGTGGGCTTTTTGGAGCCTTCACGAGGATGTGGGGCAACAGGGACGATTACATTACGCGCGGCATTTCGCCAGCATTGCAGTGTATGCACTTTCTTCCACCGTTCTCGGCGCGCCCTTCAGTTTCCGTCTACAAACACTGCACGTCACATCTCAAGTCATGATGTGATATGCAGACTAGCGTCAGGCTTGCAGCTGATATATAGATAAGTACTGTGATATATGACCGCACAGCAGCCCTCTATCAGTACAACAGATGTCAGCCGTTATCACGAACACGAGCAGCAGGGGACGGCGTGGCTCAGTTGGCAGGGTGCTCGGCCATGACCGGGTGCCGGGTCGTGGGCTCGGGCCTGACTTCCGGTCCGGGCTGGAAGTTGTGTGACGCTAATGGCCATAGGCCTTAGATGGTTCGTGAGATAACTGTGACATAATTGAGGACGTCCGCCGTTATGTTTTGAAACGTGTTACAACGGGTCGGAAAGTTCGGTATGAATGGGCATTTCACACAGTTTAAACATTCAATATCTTGTTGCGAAAAAACGATTTGAATGATTCAAACAGTTGTCTTAAATAGTAGTTTGGACCCATCAGAAATTAGAGATTGTAATATATATATATATATATATATATATATATATATAAGGGTTTTCCAATTTCCTTCTGATGCACTACATCATTTCACAACTGCACGCCTCTAGAACATCCATATGTACCGGTACACGACGAAGCTGGAATGCCTCTTCGTAGCCTTGAAGTGTTGTGCGCCAATCTGACAGTTGTTCAATGGCAGAAATGCTAGAGCAAGCGCTGCAAATAGGCACAAATGTCTCAGACCGTGGCACGTGCAGCTTTGTGCAGGACCATCCAAGGGCTATTGCCACCTCGATATTGATATGTGCCGGGTTAGTGAATTGCCTGTTCAGGGATGGTCGCGCACTTTGCAGCCGCGCTGTCTGCCTGCTATTGGTCCGCCTGCCCACGTTCCCTGTTCCCTGACGCTGGTACAGACTAACGCTACATGACTTTGAGCTGGCCGTCGCTTCCTGCCTGCCTGACTCAACCCCTGTCTGCAGTGGCAGAGCCCGGCCGAGCTGGGCTGGCCCGTCGCCCGCTACCCGCCTGACTCTACCCCTATCTGCAGTGGCAGAGCCCGGCCGAGCTGGGCTGTCCGGCGGTGGTGCAGCCCCGCCAGTCGATCCTGGTGCCCAGCGACGTCAGCCAGAGCCTGGTACTCGAGGTGCGCAACCTGCCGCCGCCGCTGGCCGGCCAGGCCAGCTACACCTGCGTCATTGTGGTGGAGGGCCGCACCACCCTCGTGCCGGCACGCGTCGACGCCAAGCGTTTCGTCGTCTGCGACAGGACCAGGGTGAGTTCCTGTACATTCACGATGAAAGTTCCTCTACCTGCTCTTCGCCTGATTATAACGTGGCCTGTGCTGTTAGAATATGCAACGGTAACATATATATATATATATATATATATATATATATATATATATATATATATATACTCTAGGGTACTGGGAAATAAACACGTGCAGGCATGCACGTATCTTTATCTGCACTTAAGTCTTGCTTGCTAGGTCACATCGTCGAGGTCGTCAGTGGTCGGGCTTCTCAACATCAGGGCGTTTTTTTAACAGAAAATATCAGCAACGAGCCTTCTACGCTTTCAGATGCGCGTAGGTACATTCCGTGTTTATATTACAGTACTACTACCACGCGAACTCGTCGCTTACCACCGCAACAGTCATCATCAAGTGGAACTACACCAACCGGGTGGACGCCGTCAACATCACCCTGTACAAGTGTTCGCTTCTCGCCACACACCGCGGTGCCGAAGACTGTTCTCTCTGCCTGACCAGGGACCCCAGATACAGGCGAGTTTCTGTCATATTACCCGCTAGAACTCCCGCTCCCCCGCAGGGCTAAACACGGCGACAAAGGTTACCACTCTGCACAAGACAATCCCGTGTCGTCCGTGTCGTCCGGAAATACGGTCCGTGTCGTCGGATACCGATGGTGGGTAAATGACATGCCAAACTTAAGATGATGCCTTCATGTACTTGTAATTGGGCAAAGTCCCGCACCACCTTGCTCTAGCTGCTTTTTAACCGCAGAACGAACGACGTCACTGTTTCTGATGGTTGCGAAATCTAATTAATTATCAGAAATGACCGATGATAACATGCCCCTGAGGAATATGACAGTATGACTTCATAGTTTACGCCGCCTTCCACTAAGGCAAAGAACCAGGGCGGTACGCAATTATTTAATATTTGTCAAACACGCTTTATGACTCCCATCCGTGCTGCCCGAACAGTGGCGGAAATGATTTTCAGAGCATTGCAAGCACTGTGAAATTGTGCGGTGTGGTTCAGAGTTTCTTCCAGGGCGACGAGCCATGCTTATTTTGGAATGTTTTTATTACTGACATAAACGTACAATTTTTCACCGTTTTCATCGCAAGCTTCTGCACCTGCTGTCGTGACCATGGGTCCTTAAATAGCTTCGTAGTAGCAGGACTCGAGAGTAGGGCTCTCATTGACGGCGTCGCACATCTCCTCCAGATGTGCCTGGTGCGAAGGGACATGCCGCTTCGGCCGACAGTGCGCTCAGAGTACCGACAGCAAGTGTCCCAAACCGCAGATCCGTAAGGTGAGATTATTAGCTCATTTTGTCCGTTTTTTGCTGTGGATACACAATTAAGAGTCTAGGTGGAGTCTTGCGATAGCTCAAGATTTCGTGGGAAATCTTTCAGTGGCGAAGTATTTTTGATTCTACCGAATGTCAGGCACCGCTTTGAACCCACGTCTCGGGCAGGTTAAGCGGCTATGCCAGCTTGATGTGCTCTTTTCACCTCCACGTCCTCCATGTCTGTTCTGTGGGCAGACCTGTGGTGCACGTGTAGCCGCCTTTCAGCCCAGTCTGTGGCCCAGTCATCAGTCAGCCCAGTCAGCCCAGTCTTTCAGCCCATAACACCAACAACACACGTAATGCGTCTGGTTCTGCTGGCGACGATGCCGTTGTTCTTGAGGTCGGCGGGGGGGTGGCACTGTACTCACCATCGAGGGTTGATATCTATATATATATATATATATATATATATATATATATATATATATATATATATATGTATACATACATGCATGCATACATACATACACACATACATATATATATATATATATATATATATATATATATATATATATGCATACATGCGTACATACATATATACATACATACGTACATACATGTATATATACATACATACATACATACATACATACATATGGCTCACACTCGCTGGCCAATTGCATTGTCGGAGTCAGGCCATGACTGTCAGCAAAGACAATACCTAGGGCATTGTCCAATCAATCTGATGCAACAGTGGAGGGTTAGACGAAGTTATACAGTCTTGAGATGGTTTCTTAGACAATTTGGTGATTCAAATTATCCCTACGACTTTTTTATTGAACTTGGGTCAGGTACGGAGGCCAGAGCAATGTTATTACTAAAGCGCTTTATCGCTGAATATTTTCCTTCGTGAGATGGTTTTTTGACGCTCGTTTGGGACTGTTCGCTCATAGGGACGGCAACACATATCTTATGTTGACTTCATAAAGTTCAGGGGAGGTTAGCAGTGTAATCCGACACCGATCAATCTTTTGCTTTGGGGAACCTACCGCCCTGCTCAATTCTGGACGTTGATTTTAAATTGAAATGACAAAATTATCGCGCAGTTTTTGGCCGCCTTGACCTTCTGAAAATTAAATGAGGTCACCGATCTCATACTAACACCAGTAACCTTTTGCTCAGAAAAGGCGTCTAGGTTAAAGCTGGTTGTGTTAGTACTAAAGAAGGCGCTTCGGGCACTAGTTTGAAGTTTGACCATGTTTGGCCTCCTTTGACTGGAAGGTTGCGACCTAGGAACACCAAAATTGGACACAAGTGAGATAGCATGGATCCATACGTTCCGTGTGAATTTAGCGTTTAGCTCTCTTGGTTTTTTATCTCAAGGGCAGGGAGCAGAGAGACTGGTATCTATTCCCTCCGCCGTCAGATACACCCTCGCTGGGGTCCTCTGGAAGGCGGCACCTTGCTCACCATCGAAGGCCGCAACCTCGGCCTCCGCCGGAGTGAGGTCAACGGACGGATCTTCGTCGGCCGGGCGCCCTGTGTCCTGGTCGAGTATGAGGTTTCGGTCAGGGTTGTCTGCCGGACCGGCGCCGTGGCCAGTCCGTCGGTGGAACCCGTCAAGCTGGGCAGCAACGCCGGCTTCACCGTCTCCACCGCTTCGTTCGAGTACAAGGTACCGTGAGAAACAAACCCACTGTAAGACTGGCTCTGGTTCAAGTCCAAGCGCGCTTGTAATGTTGGCCCTTGATAGAGTTTACAAACACTGTGTGTTGTTAACCAACCAACCAAACAAACACTTCTTGATAGAGTTTACAAACAAACGTACATGGTGTAACAAAGTACATGGCGCCATGTACTCGACAATCTTGGACGTGGCGTGCGTGTAAATGATACATTACAAAACAGCACCCGCGCGACTTCACTGGGCTCTATTTTCCGCAGCGGATCGACGTGGTCGACGTTCATCCTCGCATTGGCCCTCTGAGTGGTGGAACCCTCCTGACTTTGACCGGGACCAACCTCCACATCGGGTCAAACGTGACGGTCACGCTGGGCGGCCGGCCGTGTCATATGACAGCGAGAACAGCTGACGTCAAGTGCCTGACCTCTGCCGCGTCCAAGGTTGAGAAGGTTAACCAGGTTGTGCTAGTGCTGGATGCTGCCAGGAGGAAGCTCCACGCGTCTTACGAGTATTCTCCAGGTGAGATGAAGATGTTAGTGCTGTTGTCATGCATGAGTTTCTTGTCAGTAAGACAGCTGTGCAGTTGTGCATCGGTTTTTCGGTCTTACTCCCACTCATCTGTTGAGGAATTCCTGTGCTTTTGGCAACGTCTGTCGTCTAGCTCGCCTCGCCGTCACCATTTTAGTGTGACGTTGCCTCGTGCATCTCAGCCGGTGTTGCAGTCATTTCGTGAGGCCTATATGGGACATTTCACTGGCACGTCACCATTCATGTTGCAAACCCGCATTGATGTGCAAGGCATTCCTGAAAAAGTGCATCAAATAGCCTGAGAGTACGTAAAATTGTGTTGTGTATGGTATGTTCAACGCAACGCATTGACATATGAAAGAGGATGGCATTCACAGGCGTGCGTGCTTTTGCTCAGCACAATGCTACACGTATGCTGATTAGGTACATACTAAAGTAACGTTAGTTACTATACGTCTAGTGCAAAAAGCGTCAATGAAGTTTTGAAATTGAATGTCGGATGACGTTTCTGTTGTTTAAATTGTCATGTGTTTGGTATTTCTCGACGCTTGTACATTACAGTCGGAATAAGTGTGTGGGTCTGTCGTTGGAGCAAGTTGTATCCTTCTTGTCGTGAAAGACGTTGTATCCTTCCATTCTAATGCAACGCACAGTGCTCCAGTCGTTAGTCTATGCCCAAATGGGGATATTGCAGTGGGTCTATGACGCATGCATAGAGCCCTCGCCATGCCGTGAGTCGGCTACACTGTAAATGTTTGTTGACCGTCAGCTTCATTTGACGTCACTCACCGGTGCCGGTGTCGCAGACCCGTCCGTGCTGGACATCAAGCCGCTGAAAAGCTACGCCTCGGGCGGGCGGCTACTGACCGTGCACGGCCGGCACCTGGACTCGGTGCAGGCGCCCCGCATGATAGTGTTCAACGAGACACACCGGCGGCCAATCAATAGTACTGTGAGTCGATGGTCGAGCATTGAATAATGTATGCCATCCTTATCGAGACAGCCGTTGCGATCGTTAGTCTGTTATTGGGGCATCACTTGGTGTGACATTGCTCACCAGTGGCCCAGGCTTACGAACCTTTCTCCTTCTTTTTTCTTTCTCTTTTCGAAATTTTTCGAATCCCAGCAACACCGAAACAGAGGCTCTTGTGCGCTGTGCCGCAGCTGTGTCGCGTGCTGTCCTCGGAGCTGATGGAGTGCGCGTCGCCGGCTGTGCCCCGTCCGGTGGCCCCGCCGGCAACCTCGAGCAGCCGGCCCGGACTTCGGCGTCGGTCTGCGGGTCGGCAGACGGCCGGACGGCCTCGTGAGCGGCCGCTGCAGGTGAGAGCACGCGCCACAGGCCTCCTCGCCGCCAGCCTCGCGAGCGGCCGCTGCAGGTGAGTGTACGCACCGCCTCGCCGCCAGCCTCGCGAGCGGCCGCTGCAGGTGAGTGCACGCGCCACAGGCCGCCTCGCCGCCGGCCTCGCGAGCGGCCGCTGCAGGCGAGTGTACGCACCGCCTCGCCGCCAGCCTCGCGAGCGGCCGCTGCAGGTGAGTGCACGCGCCACAGGCCGCCTCTCCGCCAGCCTCGCGAGCGGCCGCTGCAGGTGAGAGCACACGCCATAGGCCGCCTCGCCGCCAGCCTCGCGAGCGGCCGCTGCAGGTGAGTGCACGCGCCACAGGCCGCCTCGCCGCCGGCCTCGCGAGCGGCCGCTGCAGGTGAGTGTACGCGCCGCCTCGCTGCCGGCCTCGCGAGCGGCCGCTGCAGGCGAGTGCACGCACCGCAGGCCGCCTCGCCGCCAGCCTCGCGAGCGGCCGTTGCAGGTGAGAGCACGCCAGTCTCGGCAGCGGGGTTGCAGGGAGTGCTCGCGCCGCAGGCCCGCCTCGGCCGCCAGTCTCGCGAGCGGCCGCTGCAGGTGAGTGCTCGCGCCACAGGCCGCCTCGCCGCCGGCCTCGCGAGCGGCCGCTGCAGGTGAGTGCTCGCGCCACAGGCCGCATCGCCGCCGGCTTCGCGAGCGGCCGCTGCAGGTGAGTGCTCGCGCCACAGGCCGCCTCGCTGCCGCCAGCTCTCGGCGACGTCCGTGGGAGTCCGTCGTCGGTGTTTCTGGCGGCGCTACTGTGGCGTATCGCCACCAGACATGTCCCATGACGAGGGTGTAGTTAAAAGTGTGGCCAGCGAAAGTTATTTTAATACAATTCCGGGACGTCGCGATGTCACAAATTTCGGACACTGATGTCGCGTTGCCTGACCCCGACCGCAGCAGAGGACACCGAAGACACTGCATTGCACATTGCAGATGAGCCACAGGAGGCAATGCGTAAACGTGGTGGTTAGCGGCTGCAGCTCTCCGCTGTTCGATGGCGGTGGTGATGAACACGTTACTGAACTTTCCCCAGGTTTGCAGGCACAGGCTTTGGCTTCCATGAGACCATGGTTTGTACGTGCTGCCTGGTGGATTTGACCGCTAACTGGTGCGGTGGGGGATGTTTCAGATCGGGTTTCTGATGGACGGAGTTCAAACCGTGAGGGACCTACATCAGTTTGCCCCTGACGTGCAGTCCACCATCGTGTACGTGGACGACCCGCAGTACCTCTCCTTCGCCAATGGTGTGCGGGTCTTCGGTGGCAACACGCTGGTTATCGAGGTAAATACCGCTATAAGAAGCCCACGCTTCGGAATCTCGCAATCGGTTTTCATGGGGTTTATGATTTGTGAACTGACGCTGGCAAGAAAAACCGGTACACAGGCGATGACATTGACTTATTGTGATACGACACGGTGTCGGATCCCACTGATTTATAGAGAGCGCGGCTCCATCAATCAATGCATTAGGTTCACTGAACCGAGGGGAAAAGAGCACGCGAAACAAGCCGCGTATTTGACTCTGTTTTGCATCCGCGTGTCTTTGTAGCCCGCGAGCAGCTTTCCGCCCGATGGCGTATTTATTCCCTTTTCTCGCTGAGCGCGTTTTGTATGTAGCTCTTGACGCATAGGTGAGGCCGAGGGGCGTTAAGGCAGTTGGTTTGGCCTATTAGCTGCATTAGTTGATCTTGTCAACTCCAGGTAAACAGTATGCATATCCTCAGCCGCGCAACGTTAGCTTCGACCACTCCTCTATCCGGGCCAGTGACGTCACTCCATGCTCAGTTCTCCATCGGTCAACCCTTGACGGATTGACGAAACCTGCTATAGACGGCTAGAACTAGTGCGGAGTAGTTTGGAAGAAGATTATTTCTGCTTTGCGCAACTTTATGCGCCTTTCATTGGAAACAGATGCACGTCTGGATCTAAGCTCATTAAATAATTTGGTTCGTGAAATCTGTATGAACCTTTTTCCTCAATCACGGTTTTCGTGTTGTTTGAAATATCCCGAACAATATGAAGGCGACAATAGCGAGGCTTGTTCATCACCTGCATATGCATCATGCCTATTTGCATGTCCAAATCGTTTTTTCTTGCACTGAGGTGAAACAACCTGTCCTGGAAAACAATGAATGTTTAAGACCAAAGCCACCAAAGAACTGTCAGAATTCACCAAAAGATTTCTAGCCTTACCGTTAGGCGCTTTTCAAAAGACTGGTCATGAGCGTGGTGTTGACGGTGATCGGTGTTCCTGCGGCAGGGTCGTGACCTGAGCGCGGCCAGTGACGAGCGTGACACGGCGGTGACGGTGGGCGGCCAGCCCTGCAATGTCACCAGCCTGACGGCCAGCCAGCTGGTCTGTGTGCCGCCCCAGCAGCAGCCGGCCGGCCAGCTCGGCGCCGACAGCAGCCAGCTGCCAGACGTCGTCGTCAGCGTCGGCAACCTCCGGTTCACGCTCGGACGGCTGGTGTACGAGGAGCAGGCTAATGTCCGCAAGGTAATTATGGTGCCGCGGTGTGCTGAGGTGCTGCTTTATCAGCTCAATTACTCCGTGGTGCGTTCTGTTCTGTTCAGTCGTTCCTCTTCACAATCAGTCGGTCCCGTCGCCTGCTACCTCTACAACCAGTGTGTGCCGCTAACCTGCTGTTACTGGGCCCCGATACTTTGTCCTGTTGCCTGCTTAACACGGTTCATGGGATGTCAGAAATTCACCTTCGAGTGTGACCTCCATGGTACCTTTGTTTGCACGTGCCGGTAGGCATCTTTGGGTTCGTGATGAGTATCTCACGATATGGTGCGATATGTCTTGTTTTTTTGGCCGTCCTGCTCCCCTGCAGCCACCAATAGTTATTGCGTAGTACATATGATGTGCTTCATTTTCCATTGTAAAGCATCCTTTGCAAAAAATAATCATGTCATTTTGTTTCCAGATAGGTTATAAATATGTTGACATGCCCTTATTCCGTCGACAAATGGGCTTGCGACCGTAACGTGATGGATATATGTTAACGCAACGCTACGTCGTTTGTCTTTCGTTCAGGTTGTTATCGTCATGGTTTTATGATGAATCATCGCTGTGAGGATGCTCTTTTTCGGGGCCGGATTTCCAATGCCGTAATGCTGGTCGATACGTTTTATGCTTTGTTTTGGTTCGTCGACACACGATCTTCCGATATCATGACCTGCCCGCTGTTTTTGTCTGTCGCCAGCTGGGTGCGGACGTGATCGGCGGCATCGCGGCCGGCGCCGCCGTCCTGGTGCTGGCCTCGCTGCTCATCCTGTTCGTGTACCGGCGCAAGTCGTCCCAGGTCGAGCGCGAGTACAAGCGCATCCAGATCCAGATGGACACGCTCGAGAACAACATTCGCTCCGAGTGCAAGCAGGCGTTTGCGGCCATGTGCACGTGGGACTCGCGGCGGGGCGGCGACCCTCTGGCGGCGGCCAGTCCTGACCTGCAGGCGCAGCTCAACAGCCTGGCGGCCAGCTTCAACCCCGACGAGGTCGACTGCCTCGATCAGAGGGAGTTCCTCATCAAGGTCAGTGAAACGTTTACCTCATATGGTTGCGAACAGATAAGCATTACTTAATGTGTAGTTTCTACTAGCGATAAAGCCACTAGTTATTGTCCGTTCCAGTGTTCTTAGGAGGGCGCTGAATGTGGAAGTGACCGAGTAATACCGCTGTGTCCACCTCGGCCAGGTTCTGTTCCCCGGCATCGCGGATCATCCGATCCTGAAGCACCAGAGCCCCTCGTCTCCCACCAGTCCTCGGACCACGCTCGACGTGGCCATGCTACAGCTGGAGCAGCTGGTGAGAAATCCCAACTTCCTGGTCGCCGTCATCGACACCATGGAACAGCAGAAGGACTTCTCCATCAGGGACAGGTGAGCAATAAGATCCACGCCTCCGAAGCGGACAGAGGCCCTTTTTTCCTTTCTTTTTTTTTGTCAATTCTGTTAGTGCTTGATCTATTGTCAATACGAATACTTATCACAGCATGGTTGATTGAAGAGACTCGACTCAAAGCGCCAAACAACAAAGCATCTCCATTTGGCGACGAGCAGTAGTGAAAGCTTAAACATCGCGGTGTCACTGTGAGCTGTATTTGGGATAACAGATCCATGAAATGTTACAGATATTATCTTGAAGATAATGTTCGGAGTTCTCATCTGCTAATCGAATTTTGCGGGGTAGTGGTAACGTCCGTATTGACGGTGATCCTGATGACCAACATGGAGCTCATGGCCACGATGTACTGGCCATTTGCAGGGTGACGGTGGCGTCCCTGCTGACGGTGATCCTGATGACCAACATGGAGTACATGACGACCGTACTGCACCAGCTGCTGGTGCGGCACATATCCAGGATATCGCGCTCCAAACATCCTCACCTGATGCTGCGCCGCACCGAGACCGTCATGGAAAAGCTGCTCACAAACTGGATATCCGTCTGCCTTCATGGGTATGTCTTATTGGTGTCGCGGCCCAAAAGATATTTCTTTGCTCCGGCGACAGGAGGTGCATCTGCGGCAATGTGTCAGCTCACGCGTGACATAATTTGGTCACTGATTTGGTCACTCTGACATATGCAAAATATTTCCAGACGGTAAGGGCGGGATCAAAATATCTCCGTCGACTGCTGCCTGAAAACGTAGCAAAAAAGGAGCGAAGGTGCATACGTGGCGGAAATACTTTGATCATGCCCGAGACAATTCGATAGATTTTAGTACCTTCACCCTCGCGGGTCATCCTGCGTGCGACTATCATGCACTGTGCAAAATGCAAAGATAGAAATATCCTCCGATCTTGCAGGCCACAAAAATAAACTTCTAAAATGAATATAGTCCTGTTTTGCCTTTTAACCGCGTATTGTATTCATGTACTACCTAATTCATGCCTGTGGTGTTCAAACGGGCAAGTACATCGACATGAGTGTTATGAATTTATTGTTAATTTATTCATATTTTTTCATAAATTTATATGTAAGGACCACAAACCACAAATTTATATGCAGACGCCTAAGATATGTGACCGACTACAGTTTGAATCACAAGCGATACAATTTGGCTCCCAGAATGGCTAAGTTTGCTTTTACGTCACCAAATCTAGTCACGAAAGTAGTCAAAAACATATCCATTTATCTTGAGCGCGCTTCCGTTAACAACTTTGGCGAGACGTGTTTGATTTCAACCATGCCAACATTCAAACATATAAACCCTTCACCATACACATGTACGCGGGTGTGGGCTTAAATCGAACCACCTGCCCAGCTATTTAGACGCGCGTACTTTTGTTGTACACTGTGTACCCTGTACTGGCCGTCCGTCCCCAGGCACATCCGGGATCGGCTGTCCTCGCCGCTGTACCTGCTGACCAAGGCCATCAAGCACCAGATGTCTTGCGGCCCGGTGGACGCCGTCACGCTGGAGGCCCACTACAGTCTGGCCGAGGAGAGGCTGCTCCGGCAGCAGGTCGAGCACAACAGCGTGGTGAGTTCACTTACGTTGTCGGATGTCATGTTTGATACACCGTTACACTCACATGTCATGTTGCGTATGCATGTAATTTGATGTTGCGTTACACTTCGGTTTAATTGTGCATTCTCTGGGATGACCTGTGCAAGTCTTCAACTTCGCTGGATGCGTGTTATGTGCCGATGGTGTTTGACCGTCCCATTTCACGGCCGATTTTCCAGCCTGATAATTGTGCTGTGAAGGTGAAGGGTAGTGGCGACTGCAAGTGATGGTGTCTTTACATTGCTGCAGGCAGCGTAGATAAATTTTCTGATGCCGTACTCCCAACACAAAACCGCTTTTCAACTCTTAAAACCAGCATTTTTATCACTCCAATTGCACTTTGACCCGGGAAGCCAGATGCATGAAGCTTACATGCCTGCAGGAAAATCTGGGTCTGCGTACTTGCCCTTACCTGCGTACCATATATGCCGTCGATGTCTTTCAATGCGTCAACACCCTGGATCGTTCTGAATGCCAGACGTTGATGGTGACGACTGAGGAGACTCCGTACGAGCGGATCCCGTGTAACGAGTACCAGGGCCAGCCCCGGCTGTACGAGGACGTCAGTCACAAGGTCACCGTGCACGCGCTCGACTGCGACTCCATCAGTCAGGTCAAGCAGAAGGTCATTGACGAGGTGTTCTGCGGCCTGCCCGCCTCGCAGCGGCCCAGCCACCACTGCGTCGCTTTAGGTGAGGCCGCGATGCGTCCTGAGTGGTGTGGCACGGAGATGTTTTACAATGCTTACTCACCCTTCGTCGGATATTCGTGTTCAGCTCTTCATCTCACGCGAGACAAATTCTATGAACACTGTGTGTCCATGACAGGCCACTTCTGTGTCATGAGTTGTTGAGACCCAGCTTTATCCGTATGTCCTCTTCGGTGAGAGCCAGATGCGCTGTGGGGTTTTTAGCGTCGACACAGCTGCCATCAGGACATTGGGCTCATTCGGGTATTTTACATCGTGCTGTGCTGTTTTATTGTTGTTGTTATTGTTCATTTCTTTTTGCTTGTCTTGCCACCAGCACTGAACTGTAGCTATCACCGTCATGGTCCAAATCGCGGTTTGTGTACTATGACGTCATTTGGTGCAGCATGGCTTGCCTCCGTTCATAGGGGTCTCCCGTTGCTTGTGATCCGTGACGTCATGACGCGATGATACCCGTGTTCAGAAAAACCTTGTGATATTGGTACGCTGTAATGTCGATGATTTTCGTTATCAGAGTGGTACCGTGCGGACGGTCAGCGGAGTCTGCTGGCCGATGAAGACGCCACTAGCAAAGCTGTAGACGGATGGAGGCAGATCAACACCTCTCTCCCACTACGGCATCTCCAAGCTTGCCACCATGTACCTGGTCCAGGCTAGGGAAACAGTACGGACAAAGAAATACCACACACCTGGCTGTAAGTATACGTCTCACGTACGTATCACTGTGGATTTTGCGGGCTATTTCATTGTTTCGCTGTAGTACTGCGTAGTACACGCCCTTGCTTCGGTGTACTGTTTCGATCGCAGGCAGATGGACGGCTTGGGCCATCCGGTGAAAGACAATGCAAGACTACGCAGTCGAGGTCACACTCTGCTTCCGTGACACCCGCTCGCCCGTTAAGCCTGAGACTGAGCCCACGTCACCTATGCCTCAGCGGTGAGCAGTTTCTCTCTGTCGTCGGCGCTCTCTCCGCTGGTGAACACCAACATCTACGTGCGGCCGGGCGCTGAGGTCAAGGTGTACCACCTGGTGCGACCGGAGGGGCCGGCCGGCGGCGGCGGCAGCGGCGGCGCTGGGCAGGAGACGGCCGCCCGAGCCGTGCCGGAGGTCTTCCTCACCCGGCTGCTCGCCACCAAAGGTGAGTGGCGGGTGGTTCGCCGGCCCGGCAGGCAGGTAGCTCAACTAGGGAGCAGGCTCGGTCTCGCCGCGAGCTCAGCGGACTGGCTGTGCTCGGCGGACCGACGTCGGTCGCTTTACTCGTATCTGTGCTGCGTTCTTGAAATTAAGACGGCTGAGACGCACCCAAATTGCGTCGCCAAACGTAAGCTAGTCACAAATAAGGCTGTAAAGCAAATGATCATGATGCCACCGTTGTCCGCCTACAGCGATGCTGCAGCGCTTCATCGATGAAATGATGTCGAGCCTGTTCGTGATTGACGACGAGCCTCCGGTGGTGGTCAAGTGGCTGTTTGACGTGCTGGACGAGGAGGCCGAGAGGGAGGGTATCGTCCACCCGGAGATCCTGCATGCGTGGAAGGCCAACTGGTGAGTCGCGTGCCCTGCACCTGGTGTGGGCGGTGTAGTTAACTTTAAGTAAACCATCATACAGGTGTACTTAACATCATTCCGGGCGACACAAATAGCCGAAAACGGAGAACTGGAAGTTTTGACGGACGGGACCAGCACTGAGTTGAAATATTGCGATAGTGACACCTTTTGCCGGTACCGCTAATGTGTGCGTGTGTGTGACAATTGCCCCTGTAAACATGTTTCAGTTTGCCGCTGCGTATGTGGGCCAACCTGATCCGGCGCCCGGAGCTGATATTCGACCTGGACAAGTCGCCGGCCGTCGAGTCCAGCCTGACTGTGATATCTCAGAGCCTTGTGGAGGCGTGTCTGTCCACGCCCCACGCCATTTCCAAAAACTCGCCGTCGCATAAACTCGTGTTCGCCAAGGACATTGCCCGGTGGCAGTGCTCGGTGAGCGAGTATTTCGAGTCGGTGAGAAGCCGTCCACCGGTCAGTGACCAGGACCTGGGTGTGTTCCTCCAGCAGCTGTCCCGCAGCCAGGCGGCTCAGTTCGACGCCATCGCCGCCCTCAAGGAGCTCTACGTTTACATCAACAAGTACAGAGACGCAGTTGTACATGCGCTTGACGCCACCCCAGCGTGTCAGCAGCTGTTCTTGTCGAGCCGTCTTTCAAACATAGCCGCCAGCCTGGAGACCCCGATCTGCTGATATCAGCGTTGGAGCTAACTGTTTTCCGCGCTCTCCGGCTCTCCACACAGCTCCCACCGGCCGGAAGAGCCTCATCCAGGCGGAAGCGACGTGCTCGGAACCGACGCCTGCCATTAAGCGCAGTGACAGGAAGCTTGGAGCCGGATCGTTGGCGTGCGCAGCTAGTCAGTGGGGTGGTGGCGTTGTGCCGGATGTTGCCGGCTCTGTGATAGGATGATGCGATGACCGCGGCGTGGTGCAGGCGATGATGGCTCGCGGGCTCCCGTCGGTAGCAAATGTTCGCCTTCTGTGTCGTGTATAGTGTTGTGGGGTGAGCGTGGCCGGGCGCCACGAGGAAGGATATTACGAAGCTCCGATTTGTGCGTTTCTACACGTGAAGCCTTGTTAATAAAATGGCTTGTTTCCGGGGCGTTGTTGGTATGGCAGCGCCGTGGGTGACGTGCTGCTCTCCTGTGTCTGGATGTGTATCACCTGGAGCACCGATGATTGGCAGTACGGACTGTTGAAGTAGCCGAGCAGGGACCTCTGGTGACTTTCGCACACATTTTAATTATACCTTAGCGCGTTTCTAAAAAACTTGATCTGAATCCCCATTTGGTATGCCGAGTCCTCCCCATCCGACAAAATTGCGCTGTATTGGGTACTTGCTAGCAATTCCATTATCGACTGCGGGGTGCTGGCACGGACCATCCGAGCGGAATGTTAGCACGGTCCCGCATAATATGAGTTATCGGTAGGCTAATCAGTTGCGCTTTCGACCGTATGTTGGTGTTAAGGGAATTGTAAACATAAGTGTGAGCGAGGATAATTACGGTGATAGCACAAGTTTATCAAACATTAACTTCCATCATAATTATGCCTACTCTATTCATTGGACCCGTTATGGTCCCGGGCTGCCCCGCCTTGGTCAATTATTCCTCGCGTCTTTATTTCTACGGGCTGCTAATTGACTCGTTTTTTACTCACCCTTCATTTGGTACAGAATTTGGCCCGTTGGTTTCTTCAGAACAAAGAGCAATGTGGGAATTGACACGGAGCAGCACGAATCCTGATCAAAATAAGCCTGTGAGGCTTGCTATTGGTGCGTTCCATCAGCGCCTCCGTATCTGAACAGGCGAAGCAGATTGTTGCACACACTGCACCCGGCCCGACTTCAGCTGTCCCAATGCCGTTCACATCCGACGTGTAAGGCCCGCTCCGACAGCGAGGTCAGGCGCCCCCATCACCGTTCCGTAGCGGGACGCACTCCCGCTGCTCGCTCGACCGCGCCCTCCGCGCCACTCCGACCACAGTCACGGAGCGAGACTCACTCCCACTGCTCACTCGGCCGCGCCCTCCGCGCCACTCCGGCCACGGAGCGGGGCCGTGTACCTCCCATCACCGTCCCGAAGCGAGACGCACTCCCGCTGCTCGCTCGACCGCGCCCTCCGCGCCACTCCGACCACAGTCCCGGAGCGAGGCCGGGCACCTCCCATCACCGTCCCGAAGCGAGACGCACTCCCGCTGCTCGCTCGAGCGCGCCCTCCGCGCCACTCCGACCACAGTCACGGAGCGGGGCCGGGCACCTCCCATCACCGTCCCGGAGCGAGACGCACTCCCGCTGCTCGCTCGACCGCGCCCTCCGCGCCACTCTGGCCACGGAGCGGGGCCGGGCACCTCTCATCACCGTCCCGAAGCGAGACGCATTCCCGCTGCTCACTCGACCGCGTCCTTCGCACCACCTCGGCCACAGTCACGGAGCGAGACCCACTCCCGCTGCTCACTCGACCGCGCTGTCCGCGCCATTTCGGACACAGTCACGGAGCGGGGCCCACTCCCACCGCCCGCTCGGCCGCGCCCTCCGCGCCACTCCTGTCGCACTCCAGGCGCTCTCAGCTCGGCTGGCAGTGCATTTTTCCAGCCTGCCGTTTCAGCGGCCAGCGGTGATTGGATTGTGTCGGCAATTAAGTGAATGGCCTGCTGGGGTGTTGCGGACGGTTACCGGCGGGTGGTGGCGCCGCTCCCGCCCCAGACTGGTGTCAGGGGAGGGGATCGGCCCTGGACTTGTATCAGCGGAGAGGTCTGTCTCCGGTCTGGCGTCGGGGGTGCAGAAGGTTGTTGGCAGGCTTGTCGCAGAGAAGTGAGAGCCTGAACCCGAGTTGGCATCCAGGGAAGAGGACCTGCCCCCAGTTTTGTTCAGTAGGGGAGGAGACTGTCCGCAAAATGTCGTGAAAGGATGGCAGTCAGGTAGGGGGGGGTCTCGTCCATGACTTGTCTTGGCTGACTTGTGTTGTGAGTTGTGTTTTGTTCATGAACCGGTGCCAGAGTGGGAGCGGGGGGGGGGGGGCCGCCTGGCACCAGAGACCTGTTTGCCGAAAACATGAGCACATCGATACTGAAGATCGCGCTTATCGGGTGAAGGATAAAGCTCCTCTTCAGAACCACACGACTGTAAAATTCACAACATTCAAAGCCTGGTACAATCCAGACTACTCGATAGCTCGCTGCCAGCCATGGCTCCTGAAACATCCCTGATGAGATCGGCCAAGCTGCTTGCTTTTCGAAACATAGCCCACCGGCTTTGTATGATATCAAATAGTCTGAAATGAGTGGACGTGTATTTTTCGGTCGAGTGGCTTCTTATCAACTGTAAAACAGCCAGCGAGATTCCAGCTCAGTGCATCGGCCCGTCTGGACCGATCGGCAAATCGAATCATATCGTTGATCGGCCGATTTCACGGCGAGAGCGCCGGTACGTGGACTGATTCGGTGATGGCAGCGGACCCTTGGGCGGGGGGTGAAGGTCACGGGAACCTCTTGGGGCTGCGTGCGGGCCGAGGGCGCGCCGGGATGACGCGGCGGCCTGCTCTACGTAAGCGAACGCCGTTCTGCGGAGGCAGTTGCCAATGATGTTACTGGTTGGTACGTAAGACGCACAACGAAGAGACGCTTAGTGCGCTGATGGCCAGCAGGTAGAACCGAGCTATCTGGACCGTGGAGTCACAAACGTACGACCGTGGAGTCACAAACGTACGACCGTGGAGGCACATACAAAGTCACGGACTAAATGTGTTGATTATCAAACATGGTAAATGGGCCTCCAACCACCAATAAAACAGCAGTGCTCTGGTGATGATTGTTGATCTGGTGATGATCTGGCCCGGTACAAGGCATGTGCTGCCGCTGTCTTCAGTGTCTTGTCACGATTCTGGCCACTTTTTCTGCTTGCCATTCCGTGGACGCAACGTAAGACAACACAGCATGTCACCTGTCCTGCCGTTTTTCTCATCTGTCACTGAGCCACTTGTTTTTGTATCTGAAATAATGCGAACATTGACGAGATGACAGACTGGGCACCCAATTCGCATGAATGTAGGCTAGTTTTTATTCGTCAGGATCAGGTCAGGATCACATTGTCTCCAAGATTAAAAGCCAGATCCGGCCATAACCTTAGCCGCTAGCAAAATTACAATGATCACGGATGCAGTTGGATGCATACCTACGACGTCAACAGTGTCCTCCGTCTAAGTTTCATGTGAAATGGATATGTCGTTCTCATGCAGAAGTCGCAAGTCATGCTGAAACGAAAATTGCTTTCTTATCTGCTAACGGCATCCGTTTAAGTTCACTTTGTCTTTAGAAGTGTTGTGATTTTATGCATTAAATTTGGAAACGTGACCGCTCGAATTTTCCGTTAAAGCGCTTGAAATACCTATTGGGGCACGAACCGTCGTTCGGCACGTAAAACTGTTAAATTTTGCCAGTGCCACACATATGAGCAGCGAAGTGTGGTAATTTAAAGTAAAAAGACCTGAAAACGTGCATTGCACGCATTTACCGTGCTAATTTTTCATACTGGAAGGTCTCTCGGCCAAAGGCTTCGCCGATGTTTCCGAGTCCCTCTGTCTGTCTGTCTGTCGGTCTGTCTGTCTGTCTGTCTGTCCGCCTGTCTTGCCTCTGTAGCCCTGCCTCCGTCTGCCCAAGCACGTCCGTCTAAACGGCGGAACCGATCGCCACCAAACCTTCCCCGACGTTCGTATGCCAGGGCGCGGCGGACAGACGACAGCCACGGTCACGGGCCCATCGGCGCCGAGTGGCACGTGCCACGTGCCATTCCCCGGAGGTCTGCAAAATTGAACTGTCAAGGATGCGGGTCAGGCGAGCGGTCTCGAGGGCCGGCTGCCGACCGCGATATGACCGGCGACGTGACTCGAGATTCTGTCGGCGTCCTGTCCACGAGCGGCGACGGTGCCCCGTCGGGCGCGAGCGGTGTTTGGACTGGGAGGCCTCCGCGCCGCCGATGCGCCGGGCTACGACGGCCAAACATGGTATGTGAGTGAGACGACAGTGGGTGAATCAAGCACTGCCAGAAGGAAAAAAAATGAGTGGCTCAACATGCACGTCAGACTCCCGCGCATATTGTGTGACCCTGCCATGAAATTCTACTTATCTAAATCACGTAGCACACGAAGAAGTAGAGTTTGATCCAAGATAAACTCGAAATGTGATAGCTCCAATTTTCCGCAGCACACTAAGCAGTGAAGATGCAGAACCTACCAAAGCCGGTTTCATCAGGTGTAGGCTGCCGATGTGCTCGCGCTGAACGTGCAAGCTATTCGTGCACCTACGCCATTGTAGTTTAACGGGTAGTGTCATGTGTATTAAATGTAGTGCGCTAGGTCCACGGAAGACTTGAATACTATCGATATGGATGTCTTGCCGTAGTGAGATCAAATATATGGTCAGGAACCGAACGCGCACCCAGCCCCTTACATATTTGGAGGGCTGCGCCCAGAACGGAAGAAGCTATGGCCCCCAAACTTGGTGCAATGTTTGGTACTCACAGCATGTATATATACATATACATATATATATATATATATATATATATATATATATATACGGACATATTCATATGAGGTTAACACTTCGGATGGCATATGGCGCGTCTACAAACGACTTAAGCCTACGCAATTCCCGTGGAACCGATGCGGATGAGCCCCTCGTAGAAAATCTGGCTG